AGTCTGCAGAAGGGAGCGAGCTTCCATACTGCCAGGCGGGACTTCCTGGGGTGGACGCGGCCTTCCCCTCCCCATGCACCCAAGGCTTGGGATGCCGGTGTGCCTCCCCGCCTCACGCGGTGTCACCCTGTGCCGGCACCGAGGGGGAGGAAGTCCTTGCCGCGGGTGGCTGAGGGGCACTGTCGACCGCTGCTTTTGAGGGGGTTCTGTGCTCTCGGGGTGGGGTGGGAGGGGGGAAGGTGGGGCTCTGCAAGGCATCCGAGTACATCTCGTCCTGGATGCAGGGACGCTGCACAACCCTCTGCAGCAGCGGCTTGAGCAAGCCGACAGTCAGCTGGGTCCCCTCGCCAGAGAAGGGCACCGGCTCCTCCTGGGAGCTCGGGAGGTGCTGCAGGACCACGGTGAGGATGTCCGAGGCGGTGAGCTCGGCGGGGCACAGCGGCCACAGCGTGTCCACGTAAGGGTCCAGCTCCCGGTGCTGGGCAAACTCTGCCAGCAGCGTGGTGAATATCTCCTTGTTGAGCAAGGGGCTGAGCTTGGAGAACTTCTCTGCCACCTCCACCACCCGCTGCCACCGCTTCAGGCGGATGAGAAGGTGCAGAGCTTGCAGCACAGCTTTAGGCCTCTTGCTGCAGAGCAGCAGCTCGAGCTCCATCTCATCATCTGCCTCGCTGCGCTTGTTCTTCCTGGCCAGTACTCCCAGCGCTCTCTTGTACAGCGGCACCCGGCCCTCTGGGCCCTCCTTGCTGCTGTATGCCCAAGAGATGCTAACGTACTGCTGGGTCAGCTCCACAAAACTGGGCAGCCACTTGGGTTTGAACTTCAGGAAAGAGGTGCAGATGAGCTCAAAGAGCGGGACCACCCCGTTCTGACCCACCTCCTCCAGCTGCGGCCCTCCCAAGACCTTCTTCCACACCTCTGGGGTGGCCCTGGCTACCAAGAGGCCGTCCCCGTTCTGCTGCAGCTGCAGGCAGCTCCTCGTGGCCTTCCAGGCAGCCTTGGGGAAGGAGGCAAAGACAGAGTTCAGGTAGGCCAAGTTGTCCTTGTCCACATCGGAGTGCAGAACGCGGCTGACCTCCTGCTCCACCAGTTCCTCGCAGTAGCTTTCTACCTCACTCTCTGGGGCACACACTATGCAGTTCTTGAGGAGCTCCAGGCTCATGTAGCTCTGCAGCTCCAGGCTCATGGTGCTCAACAGCTTGGCATAAGTGTCTTGGAGGCCTCGGGCTGGCGGCTTCTTCTGGCAGAGGCTGTGCTGCAAGATGGCAGCGAGGGCCACGGGAGCCTGGAACACACCACCTTTCTGCAACTTCTCCACCGTCAGCTTGGAGCTGCTGAGGCTCCTCCTCTGGTAGTATCTGCAGGCCTCCTCGAACACCATCTCCACCAGGCACGGCTCAGGCCTGCTGCTGTCCTCAGGTCTGGAAAAGCTAAAGCTGTAGATTCCAGTTTGAGTGAGGAGCTGGATGCTATCCTCCTCTCCCGGGGACTCCAGGAAATGCACCTCTTTCATGTTTAGGATTTTCTTTTCTACGAGCCTTCCGCTGTTCTGGTCGACGAGGTACAGGACCCCAGCCACCACACAGGCCAGGATGCTGCCAAAGGTCTTCAGCTGGACAGGAGTTCCTTGGGCCAGGGGGCCCCCCTCCAGGTCAAAGATATGCCTCTGTGTCCCATCCGGCTCCACCGTGTTCACAGTACCCTTCGTACTCACCAGCAGCAGACCTCCACCATTGGACACCGCGGAGGTGTGAATGTCCAGAGGTGCCAAACCTGAGAGAAGACCCACAGAGCCAAGCAGGAGCTTCCTGAAGTCTGACTCACTGCTGGAGTGCAGCACCTTGCTACGGACGAAGCCTGCAGAGGGGGCTGTGATGGTGAGCTTTGCCTTCTCCGGATGCCAGATGAGGAGGAATTTGGAAGTGGTGGCAAAGCCGGCAGCTGCAGGCACCAGGAAGACGTGCTGGGGGGATGCCAGGACCTGGTACTCGGGGCTGTTGTGCAGGACTATCCTTATGGTGCCCAGCCGCACGCCTCGCTCCCCCACCTCCAGAGCCCGGGCGCAGACGCAGAACCTGAAGGCGCACTTGCTCACATCTGAGTGGGCATCCAGGGGAGGCCTCTCCTCGCACCACACCAGGCTGGCTCCCTGGCTGCACAC